TAAAGTCTGCATAACTATGGAACAAAATCTTGGAGGAACAAAAAGCAAGATCTCCCAAACTTTGGAACATAACATAGGCGTACAGGGAGACACAGATCCCAAAGTAAACCAGTTGTAGCCAAACCATTCAAACCATTAAGGTGAGCAGCAGCATTCTAAATTGCATTCTGAAATCTAAAAGGAAGCCAGTCCAAGGAACCTAAAACAACAGTGATATGCTTATAAGGTGCTTTGAAAAAGTATGCAGACCCTGTTCAACCAGAACACTTTTTAAAGACAAAATTAATTTTTTGTCAGCAGATACCTTAAAAAAAGTGCTTGCATGAGTATTCAGACCCCATGGAAACATAGGGGCATTAACATTTGGTAGAGCCACCTCTTGCCACAATACCAAGTTTAATTTTTTGGGGTAGGTATTGTACCAGTTTTGCACACTGGTTAAGAGTGATGTCCGCCCAGTCCTTTTAACAGATTTGCTCCAGCTTATTCAAGTTTCCTGGACAGAGGTTGTGGACTGCAATTTTCAAAACATGCCACAGACGATGGGGTTGAGGTCGAGACTTTGATTAGGCCACTCAAGGACATTCACCTTTATATTCTTGAGGGCTCCAATGTTGCTTTGACCCTGTGCTTGAGATCTTTTACCTTCGGATATTTATAGCAGACTGAAACAAGTTCCCTTGCAGTATTTTCCTTTACTTTGCTCCATCCATTTTTCCTTCTGTTCTAACATAATACCCAGTCCCTGCTATTGAGAACCACCCCCTCATCATGATGCTGCCACCACCATACTTCACAGTAGGGATAGTGTTTTTTGAGGCATAGGCAGTGTTACATATAGTGCTTTGAATTTTGGCCAGGATGCTCTATCTTGGTCCAATCGGACCACAAAACCTTTTCCTAAAGCACTCTCATGTTGTCTGGCAAATTCAGGATGGGTTTTGAAATGGTTCTTTGTGGGTAACTGCTTCTTTCTTGGTACTTTTGACTTTCTCTAAGATATTTGCTGGCAAATAAGCAATTTTGTTTTTAAAAGTCCCTGCAATAAAAATACTGTCTGCAAAAAGATGTTTAAGTGTAACTTATAATACAGCAGCATTCGAAAAAATGTAAAGGGTCTGAATACTATTGTAAGTCACTGTATGTATTAGTTAAGTTTCTAACAGCTGGGTCCTCAACATTGCATGCCAACTCAACCTGAAAAGGGAGTTTTGTAACCCAACCATCTCAGATGCCGCCAGAATATTTTACCAGGAGGTGGGTTTGAACATATTTATTCTAAAAGAATAGAATAACTCAGTAGGTACCAAAACCCCCAGATTCTGACAGGTACAGGGTTGAAAAGGAGAGTCAATCAGCTTTAGCTTTGTGGTTGTCAGAGATAAGATGTAACATGAATGTAGTTAACATCAGCATAGATATGAAAACTAATGTGATATCTATAAGGAACCTGACCTAAAAGTAACATATAGATTCTAAAAGGATAAGGACTAAGAAGAGAGCCCTGTGAGACACCAGATGACAAAACCAAACCAGACAAAGCAGTTCCACAACAGCCTCTCTAATCTATTCAGAAAAATGGTAGTATGATTAATAAAAGTCAATTCATAGAACCAGGAAGACATGAATTCACAGAACCAGCAAGGAGGAAAACTGAACAAAAAATCTCCACATAGTCTTTTCACTGCTTTGTTTCAATATAAACCCCAAATGAAACGGTTTAAACAGCTTAACAGCAAATAAATGATTTTGTTAACTGAATGACAACAGCCTATTCTAGAACCTTTGCCAAAATGTTAAAAAAGTTAGGTCTCTGCCAATAATTACAAGGCAGGATGGAGTCTACATTCTTCTTTTTTAACAGAAGCAAATCTAAGAGCTGAGGGAACAGTTCATGATATCTGTGACAATGGGACAGAAAATTGGACAATTCTACCAAAGTGAGAAAGTGGGAATAGGGTCCAAAGAACATGCGGTAGGTTTCATTTTAGAAACTATTTCAGGTATCACATGAAGACAGACTGCATAAGACTCTGCAGAGTAGAATGCACTAAACCTGAAAGTACATAACCGCTTGAAAGTGAGGTTATAAGATACAATCTGACTTCTGATGTTATCAGTTTAGAAGTGAAACACCTTAGAAAATCTATTTTACTTGTCTGCAGACTCTTCAAGGATGGTGTTTGTAAAGGAATTTGCCATTGAACACCAGGGAAAAAAAGGTTTTAGGGTTACCCTATTCCTCTTCTATAAACCTAAACATCCTAGTTGTAGACAGTGCATTACTAAAGGTACTTTATCCATATACAATATATATACACAGTGGACACGTATGAAAAAAACATTCATACTGTATACAATGGAACTTGCTTTTACCACAATGAAAATGCAAATACAGATTTAGTCTTGACTGCATAAAAGAATACATGAAAAATGGGCCTGGAGTTTACTTTGACTAATTTTCTATACAAGACTGATAGACCTTCTCCATTCATTAAGCAAAGTTTTGCTTGGGGTTATGAGCCATAAAGGACATGATCCTATCCCTCAACAGGTGTACAAAAACTAGATATATTTCACTCAGGAAAATAAGCCGATAAACTGATATTATGCAAATGAAGAGGAATGGATGGTGTTCATATGAAAATTAGCCATATATACAGCTCTTATGTGACTTCATAGAAAATTACAGTGTACATGTACAGCATCAACAGTGAAACCTGAATCAGATGTCACAAACTAAAACTGGATTGACATGAATTTACATATGAGAACAGGAAGCATTGTTCTCAAAAGTTTGTGGGAGTGTGGAACAAATTATCCAGTCATATTGCTGAAGGCAAAACCCTGGCGTCTTTCCAGGAACCGCTGGGTGAGATTACTGCATGAATTAGCTTAAAAACTACCAAACAGGCTAGCTGTTTGACAGCATGTAAAAGGGAAAAGGCAACAGGTTCTGTTTTTTGGCTTAAACAAATGGCCCTAGAGATGGCCAATGAAAGCCCATAAGTACAATAAATGACTTTTTAACAGAGAACCCTGCATTTCAGATGAAATTATAAAAAACCTCTGGAGAATGTGTGAGAGGGGTCTGACCCAGATCTCAACAGTTCTGTGTTTTTTTAAAGATTTTTCACTTAAACAACAGGATGGATACACTAGCAAGTTCAACTGAGGCACTTTAAATAAGGTACATTACTTGAGGCATCTTTCCAGGATTTGAACCCACCACCCTCCACTTAGAAATACAAGCAGTTATCACTACTCTATGCCACTGTCTGGATGCCGTAATTGTCAAGATCAGTATTCATTAAGAATACTGTGTACAATTTAGGTTGCTTAAATACAAGAAAAAAAAATCACTGCTTTGGAAACAGTTAAAAGAAAAGCAAGCAGATATATCCCCTTGCTGAAAGAAATATCCTGCAATAACAGGGTAATGTAAACATTAATGTATTGTATTGTAAACGTCTTGAATTTTGCCAATGGAATCGACAAAACCCTATGTATTTCTTCAGAATGAACAATGAAAAACCATTTAGAGGACACTATGTGAAAGTGCATTCAAAACTGTAAACAGAAAGCAGTTCTTTACACAAAGGGTTGTAGGAGTATGCAACAGGTTGCCCAGCCATGTTGATGAGGCTTCAAGTGCTTCTAACACCAAAGGCTAACTCCTACTTCAAAACAGTTTTCAAATGTCATTCACTTTTTGGATGAGCTTTTTAAATTGAATTTAATAAAACTTTCTTGTGATATTAAGCTAGCTTTCATGAAACAGGACAGAACAGAGCATACTAAGGACTAAGGGCCAATATTTTATCTAATCTTGCTGAAAAAGACCATATTGTTAAACTGCGTGGGTTCCATTAGTTTGTAATCTAGTGTCTGCTAATACACTTTATTAATTTTAAGTACATTTCTGGCAGTTTTTTCACTGTCCAGGCAGAATGGACATGTATTATAAAACAGATGGTTTTACACATGCCCTGCTAATGTCCTTGCCAAAAATTTAATTTGATCTGTGTTTAAAGTCTGCATATTCCTTCTAAGTATTTGAGGGTAAATAATTCCCCCTGCTGAAAAGACTGTTAAACTGCAGGCATGACTTACAATAGACAGATTGTGAAATATTGCATAAAGAAATCTTTTATATTGTATTTAGAGGTTAATTATATTTTCTACCACTAAATTGTCTTTAAAAGGGCAAAGCAAAGGTGGCTTTGTGGCTAAGGATCTGTGCTTGTGGCTGGAAGTTTGCTGGTTTAAATCCCACAGCTAGCAGAGGAATCCTACTCTGTTGGGCCCCTGGGCAAGGTTTTTAACCCCAAGTGCTCCAGGGATGCTGTATAAATGGCTGACCCTGTGCTCTGATCCCAAGCGTCTCTCCCTGCCTGTGTGTCTCATGGTGAGCAAGTTGGGGTATGCGAATAGACAAATTCCTAATACAAGAAATTGTATATGGCCAATAAAGTTATCATCAGATTTCTCTAAAGTTATTGTATTCTCATCTACATCTGTACTATTACAATGTCAACAATATTTCATTGTGCGTACACATAAGATAGCAAATGACACTGCCAATACCAATTATGTGAGCAAATTTATTAGGTATATTTATAACTGATTGGACACAATTTGTTACAGGTGAAAAGTATGTTGCTCACAACTTCCACTGGTATACTGTATTTTCAATCTCTTCTCTTAAAAAATCAGAAAAGGAAGATCAAAGGCTGCAGATGTCCAGCTTTTCCACCTCCTAAATTAGTTACAGTATTCAGTATCGGGCCACTCCATCACATCTTTGTAATGATATACTATTCTTATTTTTTTCCAACAGTACAGACTGTACAGATATATTCTGTATCAGTCATACTGCAGTATGTTTTGTAGTAACAGTCTTGCACATGTGGCAAGTTACTGGTTCTATGTATATGTTAACCTGACACCCTGAAAACAAGTTGAAACTGCACTCATTGTAAAGTTTATAAGCGTCCTACCTTTACACTGAGTTCTTCTGTAGTTAACTAAGGCTTCTGTGTGTGGTAGACTGAACACAGCAATTGTTCCATTTGAAAAAGCTGCAGCCAGCAGCCCAAGCCTTGGCATTTGAGGAACCTGCAGAATTAAATAACACAAATGAAATATTGTTATTTTTAAATTGAAAACACTGTTCCTTACGTTAATCTACACAGGACTAGTGTAATGAACATTTCTATGGGAAAAAGGACTGTTCTCTCGTCATCTTTTTCCTGCTGTGCAACTGGGGTTTAGCTACTTGAATACTATTTTCTACTTATGTGTTCCAAAATACGTATATTTTATACCTTTCTGATACTTGACGGTAGCTCCCATGTTCCACTTGGGCACCACTTCATGTCCCATATACAGCCATTGTCCAAAGCGATTCCATATGCAAAGGAGGGTTTAGTTGAGGGGCTAAAAACAAATTAAAAAGTAAGAACACTACAAAGGTTGTGATACATAACACCAGTTAAATATAAGAACACCAGAACATTAGAAAGGCTACAAACAAGACGGGGCAACTTAACCCATCTAACTCGTTTGGTTGTTAGTAAGCCAGGCTAATGACTTTGTCAACATGACTGGGTAGCTTCTTCCAGGCAAGGTACAAAAGAAACATGTTTACTGTACCTGGGGTTTTCAAATATGTGTACACATGAATATATTTCTAAGCATCGTTGAACTACTAACAGCTTTGTGCTGTTGTGAACCACTGAACCACTTACAGCTTTGCGTCTTTTTAGTACATCAGACATTAAACAATTCAAACTCAGAGGCAACTTATGAACACATTTCTAACTGTAAAGAGCAAGAAAACTATGTACCACATGAAGGAGTACATCCATAAAACACATCCATGATACAGCATGACAATTAGAGTGCATATAGATACAGCAAATATCTACTAAATGAAAGTGGAGGGACAATTATGTACTTACAATCAAAGAACATTAAACGATTAAACAAATATTAAAATGTACATAGAAGTGCTGCATGAATTACATGCAAGGTGTAGAACATCAGTTGCAGAATTTACCTGTCTTTCACAATCACTTTAAAAACAAATAATATAAGGTGGGCAGCAGTTAACAGAAAGAGAAGGCAAAATACATGGTATCCTTCTGTATAGCAAAACTGGCATTAAACTCCAAAAACAAAAAGAAATTGTACAGTATTTATAAATTACATACAGTGCCTTACAAAAGCTTTCATTCTTTTTTGTTCCATTTTGTTGAGTTACACATAAGGTATATTCATGTATATTACAAAGGAAGAAGTAATAGGTTTATTCCATGCTGAAAAAAAGAAGAAAGAGAACACAACGTTTCGGCCGTGGAGCCTTCTTCAGGTGTCCACGGCCGAAACGTTGTGTTCTCTTTCTTCTTTTTTTCAGCATGGAATAAACCTATTACTTGTTCCTTTGCAGCCTACGCATGCTGACGCAGCTACCCACCTGAACTACTCCATGTATATTATGTACCTTGATTGGCCAGTTAGCAGAAATGGACATTTAACATTGGATTAAATTATTGGACTGGGTGTTATTTTGAAAGGCACTATATCTGTTAGTACCATTCATTAGATCTTTATATACATATATGACAGTGGGTTACTGCCACACAGAAAATCCAGTTTCGAATCTTAGTGGTGTCTACAACACAAACCAGGTGTCATGCTGCAGGTCACCCACTTCCCAGATCTGCAGTAGTGCTGGCTCAGCGTGGGTTTCCACTATACGGTGTCTTTCATCCATATCCCTGTTGCAAAATATGGCAGCATACTGGCTAGCAGCCGCCCCTTCTGGGCAAGGACACCACTCCATAGACCACACAGGGCCTCCCACAAAGAACATTGAGTCCCAGCGCTCAGGGTGGGAGGACAAGGAATCAAACCTAGAGCAGGAACACAGAACAAAAATGATGTCAGAACCATTTTTATCCTTCTCCTCAGGAATACAATAAACAAGGCTTCCTGCTGTGTCTAAGCACTTAAACAGAGTGGGCTCTGGCTTGTTATTGCTATAAAAAGTTCTGATATAATGATTACTGTACTGTAAATATTTGTTAAAGATAACAGGTCTGCTGTTCTTATTGGGTAAGTTTATTTGAAAAAAATGGCTTGCAATTTAACAAAAACAGGTGGATTTTCCTAACGAAGAATAAGCTGAAGGTATTTGCCAGCTACAGTCACAGATCAGTTAGAGAACTGAAGAGATGATACAGCAACTAATTAAGAGGAAGCTGTATAAGCCCAAAGTAGAATTTAGCCAGGAAGACACAGTTAACACCTATATGTGTGAAATTCCACGAGCCAGTAGTTAGGACCTGAGTTGAATGTATCTTAAAGTGGATGGCACAGCTGACAATACTGTGTCCCAAAACTGGACATTTTGGAAATTCAGGTCCAGAGGGAAAAGTTGGTGTTGGTGGTACCTACTGTACCACCAACACCAACCAGCAACTTGGTTTTCCTCTGAGGTCTCCCATACAAGTACTGATCAGGCCTTGTCTTGCTCACCTTCTGTAACATGATCATATCAGATATAAAGTGGTTAAACTGATCTCATAAATGCTTAAAATGGGACATCCCACCTTCTTATTGTATGGAGGCCTGGGTCTTCTTTATAACCCTCTCGGTTTATCCTAAAGGGCACAGATTGTTCTTCTTTGGGTAAGTACTTCTCTGCATCCCTGGATAAAAACAGCATTTTTACCTCTTTATGTTGTCTCAAATTTCTCTGTCAATATGTAAACACATGTAGGTGTGTTTTACCTTGAGGACAAAAAGTTCCAATCCTTCACCGAAGGAATCCATTCAGGAAAAACCCATGAAGAATGGTGCTCTTCACGGCTGTAAAACAAACAGATTGCCTTACGTCTTGACAAATGGAGACAAGTGAAAGAGCTTACAACACAAAGTGGTGCTGCAAGCATTAGTCAAAACTGACCTCAGCATATTTATGAATAGGGCTTCTATTTTGCATTTGTTTTTGACATATCTTTCTGTCCTTTGAGCTAAAATCGAGTCATTAAGTTGAATGCATTTACACTTAACTAAGTTGAAAAATAAATTGTTTTTACCAAGGAGTTAAAATTAAATTACTCTTAGGCTCTTGGATTACAAATGAAAACATGGAATTCTGGACAAGCCGCTTTTAAGATGATAATTAAAATCAATACAGGCACACGCTAATATGGGATGAGGCTGATGAGCAAAGGTAGGCTATGAAATAAATGAAAGTATTAAAACATTGTACTCATAGATAAAACCAGCACAAATGTAATGCAAGTTGTACTGGTAAGACATAAATTCATAAAGACAGACACTGGGAAGAGTATACTAATATGGATTATCAATCATTACAGACTCTTGCATTTTGTAAATATACCTTTTGTTCGTCAATAAAATCAATACAATTGTATGACAGATTTTCACATTGCTTTAGCAAAGGTTTTCTTCGTGATACTCACAATTCCTTGGTCAGGTGGGTACAAATCCATACAGGGCCCATGATATTGTTAGGTAAACCATTTGCGGCCAAGCCAACAAACTTTGATCTAGTATGGGGCTACAAATAAAAAAAAAGAATAATGAATAAAAATAATAACATTTGTATTGATTAAAATACATAAAAAGTTATGTTGTTTGTTTCCGTTAACTGTTCCATTGCTTGCAAAAGTTTGTTTTACTTTTGGGAAATGAGAACATTCTGGTTAACATTTCGGCACTGGAGACATGGTTTCAATTCCTGGGCTGCTATCTACATGGAGTTTGTACATCCTCCCTGTGTTCACGGGTTTCCTCCCACAGGGCAAAGACATACTGGTAGGTTAATTGGCTTCTATAAAAAAAACGCCCTGGTGTGAATGTGTGTGCCTTATGATGGACTGGTATCCTGTCCAGGGTGTATCCTGCCTTGTGCCCGTTACCTGCTCGACTATGTTCTGGCTTCCCTATGACCCAGTACTGGATAAAGCAGTTTAGAAAATGGACAGATGGAGCCTAAGCAGTTTAAGTGGTTCTAATGTACTGTATTTCTTTTGTAATTTGTTTTACACCAATGTAAGACAGCACTGTTATCACCTTTGAGCCTGCGCTTGTCAGATCACAGAAGCTAACCAAGGCTGAGCCTGGTAACTAAGAACTGGGATGGGGAACCTCCAAGTAAATTCAGGCTACTGCCGAGAGTGATGCTGGCAGACCAGTAGTTAGCACTCTTCCATCTTGTCCATAATGTCTTAATATTGTAACAAACTGTAATATAATAACTGTAACACTGTAATATAGGAGGTGTTATTCTTCTGATGAGATGTTAAACCGAGGTCCTGCATAACTAATTATTAAAGACCTCGTAGTGCCGCTTATAAGAACAGTGTTATCAACCCTGGTATTCTAGTTATCCTGGCCTACCTAAATGTTTTCTTCACTTCTCTGCTTGACAATCTGCTAGAGAGACTGTTATTGCATGTAGACTACGGTACGTCACACAGGGATGTTGCACGTCAGTGGTGGATTAATGAATCCTCTACTATATATAAAGCACTTTAGGATTAAAACTGCTTTGAAAAAGCAATAATTATAATTATAGCTACTTCTTCCAATTCAGGATTACAGGAGAGCCAGAGCCTATCCTAGCAAGCAATGGACACAAGGTAGTGTACACCCTGGATGCCAGTCAATTGCAGGACACACACAGACACAGACAAGCACACACTCACCCCAGGGGCAATTTTACAGAAGCCAATTAACCTACCAGTATGTCTCTGGTAACTGTAGTGCCCAGACGAATCCATGCAAGCACACAGAGAACATACAAACTCCCCACACACAGCTCCTGCGGGATTGAACCCAGAGCCCCAATGCTGTGAAGCTGCAATGCTAATAACTGTGCCACAGGAATATTTATACTTTTAAGGTCTGTTTTAAAACAAAACACAGAGGGCTACTTTAAAGTCACTATAAGTATGCTAATCCTTACAGCAAGAAAATATGTAGAACACAATCTCTCTTTTAGCATTTAACAAAGAGCCTAGTAGAAACTGTCAGAGTCAACAACTACTTTTATCAAATGACTCCTTCCTTTGAGGTCTGTATTGAATTTGATGCAGTATGATTAAGAATCACCACCACATTTGCTCTACTTACAGTAGAGGGTGTGCTGCATGCTTTGTTCCTCAGGTCCTGCACGTCAGCATCGGAATCGCTACAAGAGGCAACTGCGTCCTCAGAATCTGTCTCTTCAGCAGCTTCTGAAAGGACAAAGTCAGCATCCTTGCTCACGTCGTCGGAGCCGTCATCTTCCATTTTCTTCCTCTTCCTCCCTCTTCCCGATTTCCGGGTCTGCTCAGAGCCCGGCTCGGTCTTGGCTGTGGCTCGCTCTGGTGCTGAGGAATGAGGGGTGGCACCCATCTCTTCAGCCAGGTTGTGGAGGTACAACAGAGCACTGCAATGCAATTTGGGTTCATTAGACAAAGGCCTGCCTTCACACTTAATAGACATCCATCTTTAACTGGTGCACTCCATCAAGAAAAGACTAACAGCATAATTGACTCCCAATGTCTTAAGACGAGGCTGTACAGTGATGTAGTGCTTAGCATTGCAGCCTATAGTTCTCCCTATGTTCCCTTGGGTTTCCTCCAGGTGCTACGGTTTCCTCCCACAGTCCAAAGACATATTTATAGGTTAATAGACTTCCGGGAAAACCAGCCCTAGGCGTGTGCGTGTGCGTGTGCGTGTGCGTGTGTTTGTCTATCCTGCAATGGACTGCAGTTCAGTCCAGAGTGTACCATGCCTTGGTCTTCCGGCTTGCCGAGATAGACTCCTGCTCCCCTGCAGAACTGAACTGGAAGATGTAGTTAGAAAACGGATTAATGGATGGACTTGGGACCAAAACAATCGGCTCCTAGAAAAATG